AAGGACATAATAAGATCTGAGAATAGATTGGTTAAAGTAACAGTCATGTATAGTTCAACTTAGTACTGAAAGTCCTTAAAGTGCTACCTATTAAAGTCTAAAGGGTAGGCTATATACACTTTCTTTCCAGAATGGGTTGTGACTTCTGAAACAATTGAAACAGGTTCTGAAGGGGCTGAGAGTATGTAGTTAGCAAAAGCCTCTTAGATAGAGGTCTGTACATATTAAGTTAGTTCTACTTGTAACTACTGATCTAGTAAAACAGTAGGGGTGGCAGTTAGTGTAGAAGGGTCCATGTTTATACTACAAAGGAATTAGTACTAAACTAAAAGGGGTAATGAATGGAAGAAGGGTGGTAAAAGTTTAAAAGAGGTTTAGAGAGTTTAAAATTTAAAAATGTAAAAGGGTTAGGACAAAGAAAAGAGATTGACACAACAGTAAGTACTGATGCTCAAAATGTAAGAGAGTTGTAGGGTAGTAATGGGTAGTCTTAATCTGATGTCAGTAACAGTATAAAGGGGACCTAAAGGCTCAGCAAGAGGACCCAGGCTACAACTATCCTACACAACAGAAATACAGAATACAAGTACTAGAACATAGTTAGAACTTGCAGAACAGGCAGAGAGAGAGAGTAAGACAAGAGTAGAGTATATAGAGTGAGCCTAAGAGTACAGGACTACCTAGAGTAGACAAGATCAAGACTACAGGACTAGTCTGATCTTGTACACCTATATATACTAAACTACACAAGAGTACTCAGGGAGCATGAGCTACTTAAGAATGATAAGCCACAAAGAATGAAAGAAAGGAATGTCAAAGATAAAGGTACAAAGAATAAAGGGATGGACAAAGGGTAAGAGACTATAGAATGAACAAAGAATGAAGGGGTGGTCAAAGGAATGGAATGATAAAGTAAGGAAGGGTAGTAGCAAGAGTCAGCATGCATATAGTCTATAGACAGTGCCCCTAAGGGACAGAAGTCCTGAGTTCTGGTACAGAAGGGTGTGGAACCCTTGGAACTGAAGGTATAAGAGTAGAGAACTGTAACAACAAGGTACAGAGGAGCCTTGTATAGCAAGGTAATCCTGAGCTATGTAAGCAAGAATTGGATAATGAATACTATTCTCCTAAAAAAGAGTGTTAGTACAAGGAATGAATAATTGCAGTTCAACCCAGTCCAAATATGTAAATTGTAATGCTACAGTACATTTTCCCACAGCTTCATAGCTAATTCTACTGTATTTTAATACTTATTTCTACTACTTTATGTATGTATCAAGTGAGGAGTGAACACCCTGAATTATATGTCAACTCAACTGGGTGTTCTTGTATTAAAATAGAAACATAGGTCCTGGGTCCAGTCCTCAGTCCTTAAGGTCCAGTCTGGTCCAGGAAAATACAGCATTTTCTGGACCCGGAACTGAACCTGTTCTGGACCTGATTGGACCGGACCTATTGTGACCCGGACCTCAGGTTCGGTCCTAGGGTCGACCCGGGTCCATTAGGTCCAGGACCGAACATCAGCAACTATATGTGCATCTGCCACTTAAACTTGGGTTTGATTGAATGTATGAAGAAAATTTAGAGAAGCATTGAATACTGTTACTGAAGATAAATCAAAATCTGTTCATCATAATGGCGAGATTCAGAATTATGATTGTACCAAGAATGTTTTGATGTAGCTCGAGCACTGTCAAATAATATTATAAGTGTATTTACTGATGCCCAACAAGACCAAACAAATGCGCGAGGGTTGCTGCGACGTGCCACAAGTGATGCTGACGCTGAAAGTGACAGTGAACAGCGATGCCGCCAGACTCATCGCAATCCGCAAGCAGCAGCTCTTCTAGACATTCAACACGTTCGTCGTCACCAACGTCTGAAGCTCGATCACGCTCTCGTTCGCCGTTTCCACCCACGTTACGATCAGCGTCATCGTTTACCCGTGCCGCAACTTTGGCGGCCACGACTGGGAGCCCGCAACGTCTGACAGCGACTGCAGTACCTACACGGATGCAAATAGCAGCACAAGATGTGAGCGGGCTAGCCAGCTCTGCGAGTTCGATGGTAGGAATAAGCTCTACACTGTCGAGCGCTGAAGGCGCGTTAATGAAGGAAAGTGGGACCGAGACGGAAACAGAGACAGAAGGGGAGAGCGATACCGAAACAGAAGGAGAGGGTGGTGATGCAGCAACGACCACCGTTATAGCTGAGGGTCATATTGAAGGGCCTGTTGGCGATGGAGGGACGCGGCGAGCTCTTCGCGAGCAGCTCAAACGCTCGCTCACACAGCGACAAGAAGCAAGCAATGATGCAGAGTTGTCCTTACTCTCGCCCAATGAGAAGGTCCTAGAAGATGAATTGGACGTTTCAATTATAGGCAAGCTGATTATATGCTAGTTCTGCTTGCGAAACTTGGCTTATCTCGTGCAAATAGACTCTGCACCGCCTCGACAATACTTTGTACTGACAGATGCTGGCAAGCCTGTATTTGTCTCAGAAGGCTCACCTCTGGCTGCTGATCAGGATGCTCTTGCATCGACTATTGGCCTCATGCAAGCACTCATATCAGTATTCCTCGACGACGGTGACAAACTTCGGTGTATCAATGCAGGTCGTATGCGCATCAGTTTCCTCCTTAGAAGTCCTCTCTATTATTGCTGCGTGTCAAGCTGGGGCGAACCTGAAAGTGTGGTGCGTAGGGTCTTTGACAATATTATTTTTCATCTCTAAAGTCTGATAGCTAAACTATGCGTTTGCCCAGGAAGACACGTTCGCATCTGGAATATCTCCATTTGCAAATTCTTAGTGTTGTTTCTGGCGCACAGCTTAAAAAGATATTTGAGCGACGAATGAACTTTGATTTACGTAGACTTCTGAGCGGAGCGGAAACATTTTTGCATTCGCTACTCGCGCGGATGCAGTCGGATCTTGCAATGAGCACTTCGTCATTGCTTTGCCTTGCAATGGATCAGAACTTGCGTCGAAAAATTGGTGAGGCACTTGTTCCATCCAAAATGAAGGTGAGGTAACTTTACCAACCGAACAAGCTGTAAAATTATTCATTCTCTTGTAGGAGGTCTTGTATGTTATGCTTATTGCCCGCGGCCGCGTCGTTACCCTTGTCCGACCGAAGAAACATTCCGTACACCCCGCTGATCTCCATATACTACTAAATACTATCCATGCACCTGCCATTGCTGGATCACCTGCATCATGGCTTCCTGTCTGCCTTCCGAAGTACAATTCGTCAGGTTTTCTCCACGCATACGTCTCCTTCCCGCAACTGGGCGAATCCACTACCCCAGTGGATTCTCAAGCTAGACCTGTGGCAAGTCCACCTTCAACACCTTTAACATCGGAAAAACTATCTCGACCGATTGGGTTAGGTCTTGTCTGCGTAAGTGGAGGTGGTGGTGGGGAATTCGAGACAATACGGACGTGGTGCGAAAGTGTGACGAAGGTTTGAAACTGTCAACATAAGCTCGCATGCCATTGTTTAATAGAGCTTTTCCAGAATCTTGAAACGGCTGGCACACTTAGCACATTGGAACGGTCGATTCAGCGTGGTCACTCAGAATATGAAGCTGCCGCGATTGGTGTTCCAGGGTTACGGCATTTTGTGTATAAAAGTCGTGCACATGTCCAAGTCACTCATCCAGAGTGGAGTGATGAATATTCAGATCCCGAAGCTCGACGACGGTGCGCAACATTGTCATCAATACTCTCCGTAGTCCACGACTTACTTTGACCTTTGCAGACTGATCACATTGTACCAAATACTTCATGACAATATCCATGGTAAATCTGGCCAGAAAGAAACGTTAAAGTTGCAGTATGTCAAGACGGCACGGGAGAGCGTTATGGGTTGGGTAAGCTATCGCTGATCATTTCCTTTTCTCATGCATGTAGAGGATTGCTGAGACACGTGCTACATTTGGACTGATAGATCACGCAGCCATTCGAGCTGTACATCGCTGTGGCGCCGGATCTTTCAAAGACGGCGATTGTGGGTGCTGCGAACGCAGTCGTGCGGTGGGTAAAGCGAGAAGAAGCTCGGCTGTTCCTACGCGATGCACCTGTCTTCTGAATCTCTCACCCAGAGTGTATTTTGTCTTTCCTCGTTGTTTTTGTTTTCATTAGAGCGTTGTTGTACTGATCATTAATGTTACTTTTGCATCAAACTCGCGGATACTACAGCAAAACCTGGCATTACATCCACCAAGTCGACTCAACTTCATCTCAGGACCATTCCGAGGTCTAAAAATATCCTGATTGACAAGGCTGTGCAGTGATCTCCCGCTAGCACGGAACCGGGACTGTAAAATTGGTTTCCCGCGCACACACTCTTCCTAGGTGGCCAATCCTGTATGGACGGCTGCTTATGCCGGTGACGAACAGCTTCTTAGTGCTTACAACATTGATTGAAACGCGTGCGGCTGTCTTTGCCTGTTCCTCTGTGCTGGATTTTCCAGTCTTTTTTCTTCTTTTCTCTTACGTTTCGGATCGCGTTGCTGGGAAATCCGTGGATCTTTGCGGTGTGGGATGACCGATGTCTACCCTATGCTATGGCGACTTCCGTCTTTTCCCCTCCTCCGTCTATTAGACTTACCTTTTTCTTATTTTCTTGTCCTTCCCATCTTCATGAACTATGCCTCCTCAGCAGTATGGTGATAGCGGTGAGGGTAATTTGAGTCCGATTACGCCAAGGTCGGGGACACCGCTTCAGGGTGTGGAACGCCCTTTGCTTTCTTCGAGTCGGCCGTCTAGTTCTCGTTTTGTGAGTTTCTCGTACTTGAGTGAAATTATGCCCAGACCTCATTGATTTGAATCTGGTTATAGGAAGACAATCCATACTCCGTAGCGGGTGCGGAAACGCCGCCTCGACCGCCTTACGCACGGTCTTTTTCGGACACTGCGAGTGTATCTGAACGGGTGAGTTCCCACCTCTTCTTCCGCTTCACACTATCATGGTTTAAGAAAGTAAATATGCTGACTGGATATTGTTAGTTCTCACTTCAACCGGACCCCAAGACTTGGGGTACCGTGACTAGTCCAGATGCTCCGGAACCAGACGATGCATTGCATATGCCTGACCCGCGGCGGGATAAGACGATTGATATGGGCGGGTCGATTTGCACGCCCCGTGGGATTGGGAACCTGGGGTGTTTGGTGAGTGCGCATCAAGCAATGGTGTTCTTCATTCTTTCTCGAGTCTTGCTAATAAGTCAAACACATGTAGTTCGTCATTTCCGCAGCTATTTTCGGTATCTTGTATGTATTACTTTGCATTTAGGGCTCGAGTCCTTTCTAACAGGGCATTTGCACGTATTTTTATCTGTTATTTTAGCGCTGGCTACCCCATAGCATCTCACTACATGAAGAAGCCCATGTCCAAGCTGGGAGGATTCAACATCGGTGGAACGAACATGTCAGGCCAAATTCCGCTGCTGGCCGGAAATTTTGGCTTGATAGATGAGGATACACCCGACGATGTGAAGATGAGAACGTCATATATTGATGGGTCGACGATGGAACTTGTGTTTTCTGATGAGTTTAATCAGGAGGGGAGGTCGTTTTATCCTGGTGGTACGTTGACTTCTTGGTGTCGCCGTCATGCTTTTGATTATGGATTTTGTTGATTTAGATGATCCGTATTGGGAAGCGGTTGACCTGCACTATTGGGGAACTAATAACTTGGAATGGTGCATGCCTCGACAAGACATTACAATATAAATAACTCACTAAATACATCGATCGTTTAGGTATGACCCATCGGCGGTTACGACAAAAGATGGGTATCTTCACATAACGTTGTCGAACGTGTCGAATCATGGGCTATACTACATGGGTGGCATGATAACTTCTTGGAACAAGTTTTGTTTTACGGGAGGGATTTTAGAAGCTAGTGTATCGTTGCCAGGTGCTAGTAACATTCAGTAAGCCTAGTTTCTTGAGATGTTATAATGGGCAGTTCCTGACGCATTGCTTGTTCTGTAGTGGTCTATGGCCAGCCGTGTAAGTTCTTGCTCATTTTCCACCGACGTACTCTATTCATACAATGCGCTGGATAGTTGGGCAATGGGTAACCTTGGCCGTGCTGGCTATGGTGCGTCTCTCGAAGGGATGTGGCCGTATACCTACGATGCATGCGACGTCGGGACTTTACCCAACCAAACTCTCAATGGTCTTCCCGTTGCGTATGTTTCATTCAGTCGACTTTCGCAAGTAGTCTTCTCTGAGTAACGCCTTATTTCTCTCCAGGGCGACTGAGAACGGTGATCCTAACGAGAACGGAGTACTTTCCTTCCTCCAGGGTCAGCGACTGTCACGTTGTACTTGTCCCGGCGAATCACACCCTGGACCAATGCATTCCGACGGGACGTTCGTCGGGCGCGCAGCACCAGAAATCGACGTCTTCGAAGCAACCATCTCGTTCGACACACCAGCAAAAGGACAGGTATCGCAATCTGGTCAATGGGCACCCTTTAACGCTGCTTATGCCTGGAAAAATACGTCTGATAATTTGATCATCGTGGATCCAACTATCACGGAGTTGAATAGTTATGCTGGGAGTGCGTTTCAGCAGGCGACGTCTGGGTTGTCGTTTACGAATCAGAAGTGTTATGAGTTGTCGGGGGGGTGTTTTAGTGTGTATGGGTTTGAGTATAAGCCTGGGTTCGATGATGCGTAAGTTGTTTTATAAATTTTCTGTGATGTGAGTTCCTGATTGTTTTCCCTTTCGCATTGGCCCCCGTATAGGTACATCGGATGGATTACGGATGATAAACTTGTGTGGCGACTCAATGCAGCTGGGATGGGACCAGACGACCTAGTGCAAATTTCTGCACGTCCCGTTCCGCAGGAACCCATGGTACGCACCCGAACAATCAGAATAAAATCTAAAACTCACCTTTTATTGAACTCCTTGTAAAGTACGTCATCCTGAACTTGGGTATCTCCGAACAATTCGGGTTCGTCGACTTCGAACACTTAACGTTCCCAACGTCTATGCGAGTGGACTACATACGCGTATACCAACGTCCAGACGAGAAGAACGTTGGGTGTGACCCACCGGATTTCCCTACTGCAGAGTACATCCAACAGTCAGTCCTTTCTCTCTTTTTTCGAATCCGGTCGTACCCTGCATGAGATGTGATTGTTGATGAGTTGTTTGATATGCCATTTTAGATACCAAGAGGCGTACATTAACCCGAACTTGACGACCTGGGTGGATGATTTTAAGCAGAAGGTCCCAAAGAATAAGCTTGTTGATCAATGCTGAGTCGTCTTCACCCACACTCCGCTGCTCTCACTGCCCCATCACCCTTGCTGACGTTGGTCTGGGATTTAAATATTGTATATGTAATTCTTTGGGGATTCTGAAGAATAACTCGTCCACTCCTTTCATTGATTTATAATATGAACTAGAAATAGATAATTAGTATTGACGTTACCTTCCATTCGTTTTCTTTGTATAGGATATACCCGTGGAACAAGGAGAATATATTTCCAACGTTAACATACATTTATCTACTAGACATGTGGTTTGCAGTGAACATGGTTGGTCTAACTCTGTTCAAAAGTTTGCGGATATTCCGTAGATTGTCTAGACCTACAGATTCTGCTTCCATTTCCATTTATTCGCACTTCCAAGGCGATGCGGAGGACAAATGCGAGTAAAGTACAGAGTACAGTATCGAACGAGGGTAAAGAACTAAAAACTTCGTAACGAAAAGAGGAGACCAATGCTCCAACAAACAAAATAAAACGAGCAAGCGTAAGGTAAAAAAAAACGTAGAAAATAAAGAAAGGAAGGAACAAAGCTCGATAAAGTCTAGACGCTTTCGAAGCGCAATTCGTGAGAATGAGAACAGTGGTGGGAAAGGTAGGATTCCAAGATGAATTCCAAGATGGCATTGGCACGTCAAGTGCGAATTTGAATTGACTTCAGTTGGCGAGCAGGTACGCGAATCGTGTGAAGATAACAGCTCTTTACCAGCTGAACGCTCTAAAAAAAAAACCAAACAGCGAATCGTAGTCAGCGCTTGTTCCTAACAACAACAACGACCACAAGGAAAAAGGGACGACATACTCTTCATGAACCTCAACACCCCCACACGCAGCTCTCAACTCATTATTAACACCTCTCACAGCACGTTTGACTTCATCAGCAAGCGCGAGTGGACCACATACGCCTACTGCGAGGCCTTTAGCTTGTGGGATGCTGGATGTGAGGCGGGCGATGGATTCGGTCATGCGGCTGAGGGCGGGGCGGCCGGCGTGTTGGGTGAGGGAGGGGGCGAGGGTTGCGAGGTGGGTTTCGAGTGGGGAGGAAGAGGAGGTTGGGTGGGTGAAGTTGGGCTTGGAGGTGGAGGATGGGGAGAGTAGGGAGGGAGGGGAGGGAGATTTGGACTTGTCGGCGCGGGTGTAGTGCACTGAGATGCGCATGATTACACCTGGGATTTGGGAGACGGAGGCGAGGAGGGAGCTGAATGTCGGCAGGAGTGGGATAAGGGAAGCTGAGTAAACCAAAGTAAGTGAAAGTTTAGCCTATTGATTTGTTAGAGGTACAGCGAAGACTGACATTTATCCTGTGCGATCCAGACGAGCTCTATGAACTTGACTGCAGACTTCCCGGCTACGATAGCCTGAGTGAGCTCCTCCGCTTGGCTCAATGCGAATGTGAGGCCGCTGCCACCTGCAACGAGCAGGACGGAAGAGTAGCTTGACATGACCATGTTACCTACTCCACCTGGCACGTTTCACTTCGTCAGACAAGCAAAGTAGACCGAGATATTGGACAACACACCATATGGACCCTCAACAACCACCTTCATCTCCCTTACACAACTCGCTGCGTAACCCTCCTCCACACCAGCACTACCCGACCCCGCCTGGTTTGCAGCAGCATACAACCTCCCCGTCCACCCTCCCGCCTTCTTACACATCAACACCAACCCTCTCCCCTCAGCCGACGAAGCGATAGTGAACGGATGCGCGACGCTCCATCCGAGTAAACCCATCTCGCTTGAGAGGACACGAAGACGGACGTGTTGTCCTGCTCGCCAACCGGTTGAGACGGTTGGTAGCTCGATGCGAGTCATGCTGAGTTCGGGGAGGGGTGTGACGCGTGCGGTTGAGATGCGTGTTTTGATGATGCGGAGGAGGTGGTCGAAGCCGTAGATACCGAGTGCGGTGAGGACGTATGGTAGGCATACAGGTTGGTGGAAGCAGATCTATAACCATACATCACTCAGCAACATGGTCAAGCTACATTGAACTTGGAGGACTTACGCCGACGAAAAAGAGGACAATCCCTACTATATGCGCATATATGAACAGCGTATATGCGCGTCGACGGACAACAGGAAGCGATGCGAAGAAGAGGAGAGACACGCCGCTCAGGCCGATCATGCCATGGATGACGAGTGCTGTCTGGAATGATTCCGTAAGGCTTAGCTTGATGGCATACTGGTAGACTGGACAAGACCAACGACTCAGCCCTTTAACTTCAATGACCGGAGATGCAGAGAAAAAACTCACTGTATCCGAGGGCGTGCATCGCGGCTGCACCGAACGTGACGATACCGACCCAACGGTGCAGGAAATTTAACTATTGAATTGCGGATCAACGTCAAAAATAAATTAGTATCAAATCTTATCAAAAAAACAAAAACAAAATGCGAACAGCATACACACCCTTTCGTAACCCATACCGACCAACATACCAACGATATTATTCTTCGTACCAAGAGCAACAACAACAGGGATCTGACTCGTAGCCAAGAACCCCAACCGATTCGTATCAGCAAGTGGGTTCCCACCGTTGACGAAGACGATAACAAGGATTGCAGTGAGGTAAGCAGCCATAACTGTGACTTTGCCAACTGACTTGCTCGGTGTGACGGAGTATGAAAAGAGCGTGGAGAGTGGGTGGAGAAGGGATGAGAGAGCTGGGACGTGTGGTGGTGGTGAGTTAGTGTTAACGCCAGAAGCTGGAGGCATCGAAGCCCATTCTTTGCCGACTCCACCTGCGCGGGAGGACGCATATACGTCGTGGTTTGCGAGTGTATGCGATTGTTCGGAGGAGTCTTCGCCGCCTCTGAGAGTTGTCATTGTGTTGACGCGATGAAGACGGTCTGAGCTGGGGTTAACGTTCTTTGCATTGTATGTCGATGTGGGGATGGCGGGTTGGACCATTGGTTCGGGAGAGGATCCGGAGCGCAGAATCAATCCGCGCGTCCATGAGGAGAGGGAGCTGAAACGTGCTATTGCCCGGGGGAGAAAGGCAAGTGCGAAGACTCCGACTGTGCAGAGGAGTGCGATGTCTAGCCAGTAGACAAGTACTTCGTCTGGGTTTGGGCCTTGTGGACCTCCTCCGCCAGCTCCTCCTGGTGCTCCCCCGGCACCAGAGGCGGTAGCGTTAGTTTGCGTAGAGCTCATGCTGAAAAAGAAATTGAAGTTCCGTTCCGTTTATAGAGTCGAGAATGAGAGCGATTTTGCAAGACCAGTTGCGTTTGATAGCAGTGATCAGAAAAGACAGTATATATGCAGGCGGATGCGACGGAGAGTGGTTATTGCGATAGCAGTGAGAAGAGAACGAAAGGGACGGAGGAAAAAGAGTGAAACGGCGTCTCCGCAGAGAGTGCTGCGTATAAAAGAAGGGGGTAGCAGGGAGGAGTGCTTCTTCGTGCCACTCGGCTTCGGCTCTCTGTTGACAGGACAAATCGAACAACAAGGGAGAGGCGACAGAGCGTACTGAAGCCGCACCGAGAAACGGCTGCTGCACAGGCCCCTCTACACTCAAGCAGGCAAGCAACTCAGAAGAAAGAAACTCGAAGAACTCTCCAAGAAAAAAGCTTGTTCCGAATATGTTTTAGCGTTAACCGAAGAATGTTGGATGCATTGGGTATGTCGTTCGCACGTGTGAATCCTTCGCGCAAAATGCGCAGTAGATTACTTGAAGCGGAGGTAATTTTTGTACCATCATCAGTGGCGCTTTCTTGTCCATCAACGGGGCACAGCGCACGTTTTCTTGTGTTATAGAATTGAGAAAGGTGCTAGACTAACTTTTCTACGAGCCTTCAGGTCTTCCTGTAGGTCTGCAAAGGGAAAGGATGCCGATGCCGATGGAACGGGTGCATCTAGTGATCCACATTGCAGTTACCATTCTAACGGCGCCGACGCAGTTCTGCCGCGATCTGACAACATGCACTTTTAGCATGATATATGCGGCCGCCGCCGCATGAAATGACCCTTCACAATGGAGACTTGATTTATCCGTTTCCCTGGTTTCATTCACGTCATGCGTTGTGTTTGTTTTTTCGGTGCCGTTGATCACTAAGTTATTTATCCTATCAGATTATATGCTTCGTGAACCACGTGTTGAACAGTATTCACTTTGCGACCGGTTCGCTCAGAAGAGTTTATCTGTGGTCTTGTAGAACCTTGATTGACAGTGGTAGCATATAACTGTTTTCTGCTCTCAGAACCTATATCTCTGTAATGAATTCCAATTTGAACACATGGCTTGTATTTTTATTATACAACGTGGTATACAACAATGAAGACACATGTCTATAATTAATTTAGAGGACAAATCTCGTGGCCGCCACTAATGATACTTGTTGTTGTGACTACTTATTGTTGATGAAGGCAGTGAAGAACAACCTCTGCTTGGCTATGACTTGGCTACCAACGGACCTGTAGGAAGCGGCAGCCCAAGCTGCTTACACAGATGGTAGGATTCACCTTTGAGACTATGTTGAGTAACAGCAAATATCACAGACTATTGAGTTTAATATGGCCTACTTTTGTCAATTAGCTGTACAGTTCAATACCGTGTATTCAATATGAGTTATAAATGTTTAGTGTACCTGCACTTTATTTTAAGTAGGATATTTACACACAAAGAGGGATAGACTATACAACATGCGAGTATGAATGAGCGGCTGGTTGGGGTACCAAGTAATGGAAAAGAAAGATTGGTTTTTAGTTTACGACCAGCCCATCTACCTCTAACATTGGCGATGGGGGGGGAGGGCGGTTGATAATGAACGTTGCAGAAGTTAAAAAAAAAGAAGAAAATGCAAAATAAATAAATGAAGTGGACACGGTCACGTGAAGATGTTACCAGCCAAACACTCTAAATTCGGAGATCAGTACAGACGACGATGTTGACAAGAACGGACTCACTCTTCATGCAGGTCTACACCTCCACATGCCCCTCTCAATGGACTGTCAATGCCTCGAACTGCTCGACCGACTTCACCAGCAAGTCCTGTGGGACCACATACGCCTACTGCAAGCCCTTTTGCATTCGGGATACTTGATGTAACCCGGGCAATAGAACTCACAATATGTGGTAGCATTGGCCGGCCAGGATGCATAGTGAGGTTAGGTGCGAGTGTTGCAAGATGTGCGTCGAGCCCAGAGCTTGGATTCGGCTGCTTTGGGATGTATGTCGTGTCTGAGGATTTATCTGCTCTCGTGTAATGTACTGTGATGCGCATGATGACGCCTTGGACCTGCATGACCGAACTGAGAAGATTTGAGAAAGTCGGCAAGAGTGCAGCCAATGAATCTTTAATGACCAGTTAGTTTCTTCATTGAGAAAATAGATATTGCCACCTAACTCTTATCCTGTGTGATCCAGACGATCTCGATGAACTTCACCGCGGACCTGCCAGCGATAATGTCCTGAACAAGCTCTTCCGTCTGGCTTAGTGCAAACGTGACCCCACTTCCCCCTACAACGAGCAAGACCGACGAATAGCTGGACATGACCATGTTACCTACTCCACCTAGATGTTGGTATACTTAAGGTCAACACGCATTGGGGCAAAGGTATACGAGGACTTACCATATGGCCCCTCAAGTATCACCTTCATGTAACGTACTTGGGATACTCCATTCCCTTTTTCGATAGCGAATGCATTTGCTCGGGTCGCTGCAGCATACAGTCTTCCGGTCCAGCCACCGGCTTTTTTACACAATAGTACAAGGCCACGTCCGGATGTCGAATCACTCGCGGAGGCAACAGTAAACGGATGTGCTATAGTCCATCCGAGAAGACCTAACTCGCCAGACAGTATACGCAAGCGTACATGCTGTCCTGCTCGCCAGCCCGCTCCAACATGGGGCAGCTCGATGCGGGTTAGTCCGAGCTCCTTCACGGCCGTGACATGTGCTGTAGAAATACGTGTCTTGATTACGCGGAGGACGTGATCAATGCCATAAATCCCAACCGCAAGCAGAACGTATTTCCTGCAAACGGATTCGTGGAGGTACACCTGAACGGTTACAAATTAAAATTGTGCTGTTGTATAATGCGTGGGAGCAAGACTTACCCCGACGAAGAAGAGGACGTTCCCTGCAATGTGTGCGTACAGGAAACATGTGTAGAGCCTCTTACGAATTCCGCTGAGCGAAGCAAAGTAAAGAATGGACACTCCACCCAGGCCAATCAAACCATTTATAATGAAAGGTCTGTTCAGTTTCGGTCCTAGTTGACCAGCAATTGCATATTTATAAACTAAACATAGTATAAACAGTTAGCCCGAGGATTCCTAGCTGAACTTACACCAATCCTGTGATACTCACTATATCCGAGGGCGTGCACGACGGATGTACCAAATGTAACGATACCGACCCAGCGATGTAGGTAATTCAACTTCACATCGGACCAGAATAAAATTAGTTCTTGGAGAAAATAGTCGATCATAAGGAGAAAATAGAAACGTACGCGTTCATACCCCATTCCGAGTAACATCCCGATAACGTTATTCTTTGTTCCAAGGGCGACTGCAACGGGAATCTGGGAAACAGCGATGAATCCGACTCGATTGGAATCCTCGAGAGGGTTTCCTTTCTTGAAGAACGTAATGAAGAGGACTGCACCGAGGTAGATGGCCATGAGTGTGATTTTACCGACCGATTTGCCCGGAGTGACAGAATACGAAAAGAAGGCCGAAAGTGGATGGAAGATCGATGTCAGGGAAGAAACATGTATAGGAGGCGACGAAACTGCAGGTGGCATTGAGGCCCATTCCTTGCCGGATCGACCATCCTTGTTCCCGATATGGTTTGCCAGTGTATGCGATTGGTATGATGTCTCATCGTCATCCCCGAGGGTTGACGATGTCTCTGCACGATACAGACGTTCGTGCGGCAAGATACGCTGCACCATTGGTTCAGGATTTCGACCCCTCCTCAAGATTAATCCGCGCTTCCATTCGAAAGAGCTGCTGAATCGTCCGATTGCTCGTGGCAGAAAGGCGAGAAAGAAGACTCCCATGGCACATAGGAGGGCGATGTCTAGCCAGTAAACCATTACCTCGTCCGGATTTGGACCTCGAGAACCACCACTACCACCTCCTCCTCCCTGCCCGCCGTACGCGGCCCCGGTCGCCGTAGAGTTCGCAGCTGAAGCTGCCAAGATAAAGCTCATCTAGCGAATTCGAGAGAGAAGGAAGATACCGTCGTTGATTGAACTAAATAATAGCAAGGCCAGCTGCTGTTTAAAGAAAACCGAAAAGAGGAATGAGTGGGGAACAGAGATAGAACGGGAACAGCGAACGGAGGTAAAGGAAGAAGGTGGAAGAGATTGTTGCCACGGCGCAGCTTTCGTCTTTATAAAATTCATCATCGGATTGGAGGCTTGGACTCGCTCCATTGTCGGATTAATGTGGATGAACGGCCGAGTGGACGCAGTCAAGCTGGGGTACGATAGCATGTCCAAATGCTTGTGTTTTTGCTAACAAGGTAGACAAAGAGAGCATGTTGCTTGCACGACGATCGTTGGTTGCTAGATTGATTGCGCAGCATGCATGCATCTGTGTGGCCTTACATGTGTCTACAGCTAGGTGGAAGCCTCATTCGAGCTGCGGTTCCCCACCGAAATGTTACATTGTTAGCTTGGGTAGCTCACTTAGGGCCCCTGCTACATGATTCAATTGGTACAATTAAGGATCCGCATATACTTAAGAGATTTAGTTACCATTGTGACGGCGCCGGAAGTTGACGCGCAGACCTTAGTCTCTTTCTCAATTGGCTTACTGCGCGACGGCCTTATGGAGAGTTTAACTCGGCCGCCGCAACGAAGAAACCCTCAGCATTGGAAACTCGCTGTCTCCACTCCCCTGGTTTCCCATGTCAGGGACAAGGGCCTCGGCTGAACCTGATCTACTTGGCGTATCCATCACACTATCATGCGATGCGTGAACTAACACAGTCAACGCTGTTTGTGATTTATCAGCAACGCACTTAATATCATGATTTTAAATCAAAGGTAACATGTTATTTCCGTCGTGAATAAGCTGGAAGTTGCTGTGAGATAAAGGTACAAACAAACTGGGCCTCAATGCACTCGAGATATTGCCTCAGGATTCAAGGAGTGGCTCGGTCCTTGCGTCTCAACAACAATCGTTCCACCCACATAAGTGAGCGAGGCCCACAGGTCCTGGTTTATCTAATGCGAGTTGAGACGAGATGATCACTTGTAGTATCCGATTAGTTATCCGAATTCCAGTCCCATGAAGAAAGTGGAGGCAATTTCTCCATTCAATCCAGGCAGCCTGTAGATCGGATGTTCAAAACTATACAGAAAATGGAAGCGCTTCAATGATCTGCACGTATCTGGTGGAGTAGCACGTATAAGTCTCCTCTGAAAGGAACGAGAAGTCACAACGATTGATGTTCTGTCTCCAGGGAGATTCCTACGTGCTTCCCATCCGGAGAGTGATACTCTGATACTCCGAGTGTCTACTAACAGATGCTTACGATGCTTGAAACACGACGTATATTTGTGTCGATCCGATTCAGTCGCCTAAGCCCTGACGGCGTTGTAGTATAGTATATTTTACCCTCACTTCTGTCTTGCCTTGCATCGCAGGAATCAGGAACCGACTGAGGAAAAGTTGAGAGAATCGTCTGGCACCAAATGATGACGGACAGTAAGTGGCTTTCCTTACGCACATGCCTTTTTAGCCGATTACATAATACGTTCCTTCGACTACCCTGACGAGCGTCGAGCGCTCTAGCGATCACTTCCACTCTGTAAACGTGGAAGTCTATCCTGTTGTGCTCTGTGTCTTCGTTTCCTAAAGGCGTTGGTGTGGGGTGAGCAGCTGGCTTCTCAGTAGATGCATGTCTAGCTTCTTTATTGCCACATACAATTTCAAAGTAAATCGGCGTTCACCTTTGGAGGAACGATGCTTCGATTTCTTCACCGACCCATCCGCTCACCGACTCTCATGAGTGTGGATTCCCGACTCGGGCGACACGTCGAACACAAATATGACTGGTATCCGAGGCTGTAATACCTCCATTAAGCCCATGTGCAAAAAGGGTCACTGCGAGGCGCATCAAAAGCGCATAGTAACGCTGATACGCTCTGATAACTCCGAGCTCTAATGTTTCGTATGCGTGGAAGTATACGTGGCCCACCACTGGAGCAACGTGTCCATTCCATTAAGACTTGCCTATTAAAGGCACGAATACTATCCGTAATGGCAAGACCAGATTATTATTACGACACTTGCACTTAATTAAGCTCCCGACTCGGGATACAGAATGCCTCGTTCTTCTCCTTCTGTGCACCGAGCTTCACACTCACGTCAACGAAGAAAGAAGACGTCGGACGGCGGGCGAGTGGCGTCTACTGTTTTTCTCCTCTGCGTTACATTCCTTGCTATCTTTTGTCTGCTTGGGGTTCCTGTGTCTGCGAAGCAGAACGATGTGGGATACGAAAAGTCAACATATGGACATGTAATTGGAATTGGTGCGCATTCTCCTTTTATTGGTACTTGCAAATGCGCAGCATGTTACTTACCTCCTTATACTATTTTCTCTAATTAGACCTCGGAACGACGTGAGTATCTGACTTACTCATAGCATTATACACACAACTTACCCATTTTTTTTCGCATTGCCTAGTTATTCATGCGTTGGGTGAGTTACTTGAGTTATGATTTTGCAGGGTAAGACGGATTTTCTTATCTTCCCCATTTAGTGTCCAACGAGGCGGCCGAGTAGAGATTATCGCAAATGATCAGGGTCATCGCATCACTCCGTCATGGGTTTCATTCACAGAAGAAGAAAGACTGTATGTCCATCCGTATACCAGTTGTGTAATTCCTACTTTACTGAGCATGGTTACGTAGTATCGGTGATGCCGCGAAGAAAACATTCCACACAAACCCACGCAACACGGTCTTTGACGCTAAGCGGCTTATAGGTCGTAGATTCGACGAACCAGAGGTCTTACAAGACTTAAGGGAACTGCCCTTCAAGGTTTCGAAAAGCGAGTCTGGAAAGCCGCTTATCCATGTACATCATAAAGAGGAAGAGCGTAAATTTGTATGAGTATTTGCGCTCCTTATTCTACATTGTTCTGACTTTGTTCAACCATGGCTGTTAGACTCCGGAAGAAATAAGTGCAATGGTGCTTTCTAAGTTGAAAGAGACTGCGGAGGCATATCTTGGGGAAGAAGTCAAGTATGCGGTCGTCACCGTTCCGGCATGTACGTCCTCGCCCCTTACATCTACTGCAACATCTTACATTTAATAATGTGCCCGTGCAGATTTCAACGATGCTCAACGACAAGCTACAAAAGACGCTGGAACGATCGCAGGCCTTCAAATACTCCGCGTCCTCAACGAACCCACTGCAGCAGCCGTTGCCTACGGCCTTGACAAGAAACCCACAAACAACGGAGAGTCGCGTATCATTGTGTACGACCTTGGTGGTGGGACATTTGATGTCTCGCTTTTATCCATCGAAGACGGTGTCTTTGAAGTGCTCGCTACGGCGGGTGATACTCACCTCGGAGGCGAAGACTTTGACAACCGTGTCATCGAGTACTTCGTCCAGCTCTACAAACGGAAGACTGGTGTAGACGTTAGGGCGAGTAAGGATCATCGCGCAATGGGGAAACTGAAACGTGCGGTTGAACAGGCGAAACGTGCGTTGTCGAGTCAGCAGTCTACACGCGTGGAGATTGAGGCGTTTGAGAATGGGAACGACTTTTCGGAGACGCTGACGAGAGCCAAATTCGAGGAACTGAATGCGGGTTTGTTCAAAAGGACGATGGACCATGTCGAGCAAGTCCTCAAGGACGCAGATGTGAAGAAACGCGAGATTGATGAGGTACACTCTCAAAATATCTCTTCTCATTTTGTACAATTTCTGACTCAAGTGTACAGATTGTTTTGGTCGGAGGCTCCACGCGAATACCCAAAGTTCAAGAACTCTTAAGGGATTACTTCGGAAAGGAACCATCAAAGAGTATCAATCCTGATGAAGCAGTTGCATACGGTGCAGCAGTACAGGGTGGCATTCTCGCAGGTGACGAAGCAGTCGAGGTCTACACAATCATCGATGCATCCCCAATTTCACTCGGTATCGAGACGACTGGAGGTGTTATGGCGACAATTATTCCTCGATGGACTACAATACCAGCGAAGAAATCTCAAATGTGTGTTTTTCCCTTTTGTTATCTTATTACGGCACTATCAATTAACTTGATTCCGATGTTTAGCTTCTCGACTGCGACGGACAACCAAGAAACTGTCAGAATCCAGGTCTACGAGGGTGAACGTGCACTCACCAAGGATAACAACCTCCTCGGGACGTTCGACCTAACAGGTATCCCACCCGCACCACGTGGAGTCCCGCAAATCGAAGTCACGTTCTCCGTCGATCAGAACAGCATCCTTAACGTTACCGCGGTCGAAAAAGTTACAGGACGCGCAGCATCGATCAAGATATTAAACGATGGGCGACTTTCTGTCGACGAGATTGGTCGAATGCTAAGGGAGGCAGAGAGGTTTGCAGAGGAGGACGAGCGGATGAGGAGACGTGTGGAGAAGATGAACGAGCTTGCGAGTTTCGTTGCGAGTGTGAAGAGTCAAGTTACGGATGAGCAGGGCCTTGGTGGGAAAGTCTCAGCAGCGGATAAGCGAACACTGTTAACGGCAGTGAAGGACGTCGAGGTATGGATTGAGGATGAGGGGCGAGACGCGAGTAGTGATAACATCGAGGAAAAGTTCCAAGGAGTGCAGAATATCGTGACAAAGATCACGAGTAAGCTCTACTCTGATGAAGGAACTCACACTCGACATGTCGAGCTATAGTAACATTTCCCTAAAATAATACGAATAGTAATCCTTGTACATATGCAGATCTACAAACAGGGCAAAACTATCATAAATTGAATAAATCTAATCTAGTACAGTGTTAACAAACCTGTGGTAAACAATAACGTGCTCGTATACAGAATCACTAAATACACCGAGAATGAATAATAGGGTGATGTGATGAGGCCATTCCAAAAAACTGACGCTGAATCATAAGAAAGGGGAAAATGAAGCAAATAGTACAAAATGCACCTAGCACGAAATTAAACTAAACCCTGTGCACGCATCCGCCTCCTCCGTTTATGTTCCTCAGCAGGTGACAAGAAACTTGGCATTGGAAGATGGATCCGTAACGGGTATATAGGATCACCGAACTCGAATAGCGGAAGGTCCATATCCGTTTCCGACTCTGCACTAGTAGGTGAATGCTGTGGTACATGCGGAACCTCGGGTGAATCTCTGTCTGATCGGGATCTGAATTTCGGCAATTCCACCGTTGTCGGCTCAGGCCCATCCATCCCCGTTACCACCATTCCAGAATCAAGGACCCGTTCATTCTTGATAGGAAATGGTATAGTGGTAGTGTGTGCGTAATGTCCGTCCAGATCAATAGCAAGGTGGTCATGTTCTGGGTTCACCAAATGTTCCGTGCTTGCGTTCCTGCGTTGTAGATGTGGAAGAAGATCGGAAGGATATCGTTCCGATCGTATGCGCCCATAATTAGACTCGGGACTCCTGGTGAGTGGCATTCCATTCCCAACGTCGTCGTCATCCTCAACAACGACCACACCCATACCGGAAAGCGCATGGAAGAAGAGAATCAGGCACCCGACGAATACGAGTTTGAATATTCTTCTATATAAATATCCAGGTCCATTTGTCCTCGTTTCCGGATTAATCGTAAGAACGTTTCCCCTTCTTCGGTGGTTTTTCTTCCTCCGCCAAAGATTTGATTCAGAGTACGAAGTGTAAAGAACTGTAGTTTCTTTTCCTGGAGTCGAGGCGGAGTATTTGTAGCATGAGGAGGTAGGGATTACAGTAGGTGGAGAGTTGTCTTGCGATCTTGTGCGAATAAGGGATGTGGTGGCATCGAACGACGAGATTGAACTGGACTGAGAGTAGGATCCTGGTTGTCTGTGATGAGATTTACAATGTACCCCAGCCTTATCGTGGGAGATGAACGTGAATGTTGAACCTGTTGTGCTGGTGGTTGTATCCGCCGCCATGTCTTTAAAGTGCTACTCCTGAGAACTGAAAGGGTTGGTGCAGAAAGGTAGAGTTGAAAGGATGTCGAGGAGAGAGAGACAGGCGGAAAGAAGCCTTGTTGTGAGACCCCCAGAGAGAATTAATTTATATATCCAGGAACATCCAGCAACGCGGAGTCGAAGTTAAAATGAGAAGGGAAGTCAGATTGAGCAGCGCATGTACGTGAGTGGCATACATATTTCCACTCCGATGATCATCCTGTCCCAGACGTGTATTGCCTATTTCCTGTTTTGGTTGTCTCATCACTCCTATAAGAGTCTAGGCCTCCGCATGACACCCTCTGGGAAGGTGCAGTGTGCACAGATTACATTGAGCGGCAGAGAGTAGGAGTTTAGCATTCAATACCTTCTTCAATGGTGGATGTGATCAGTTGAGTGTAAGTCTAATGTGCATTCTAAATCAGCGCTTCTGACCAGAGTTCGAAATGATGGATCGACAAGTGACCCAAACGGGAAACTTCCGTAATGTTTTACCGGCAGGTGGTGTAAATATCTTTTTGTATACCGTCTCATACGATAGACAGCAATCGGTACAATGTCAATGTTCTTTCATAGGATTACACAACAACATATTTGACATGTTCTGTATTCAATACAACTGTCAGTAACATGTACCAAACAGTCATCACATGCACCATACTTTTCTTAGAAACCATGGGAAACCCAAGCGTATGTTTATTCCGCCAGGCACTTCCCCGCAATCACCATGGACTAATTGCGATCAGCAATGATGCAGGCATGATAGCTCACTCGAGACATGCATCCCTCTTTGTGACTTTACACATTGGGGATGTATATTCTGAGTGGCTGTTCCTTTGAGTCGAGGAACACGGATTAAGTGTATTTATATTATGGCGAGTCAACTGCTACAAAATTCTGTGCTTCTCTGGTTTGTCCCTGGGACAGAACAAGGGAAAGAACAGACAATACATGATGTTAGTAGCAGTTGTCCATTATTCAACCAGAGTATGTATTATGAGATGATTAGTTTATCAACAGACAAACCACAAGACAATGACTTCATAATGTCTTAGTTAGAATACATACAATATAAGGACGAGAGACACTGAGTAGTCAATAGTCACCTCACCCCTTGTCTATGCATGCCCCCCTTAAGTTTTCCCTCTTAACAGGTTATGAGCCTTGAGCTCCCTGTATACACACATCCACTATACACTCTAAACCCTTTACTTGCATACATTTGCACACATTTGCATCATGGTTCCCCCACATACAGATACATGCTGTAAACCAGCTGATGTACCTAAATACTTTAGTCAAAACATTACAATGCTTAAGACTGAAGCAAACTACAAGATGTGGCACTACTACATTGTTTCTAGTGTTACAGCTATGTGCTTCAAACAATTACTAAAGGATGAACCATAGAACAAAGCTGAGAGGGAGATGGCTAAGGCCATTCATGCATGCATAGTTAATAACATTGCTAACACAATATTAGCAAACTATATACACTTTGATACATCTATCCCTCAGTTAATGAAAGTGCTTAAAGAATGCTTTAACCCTCAGACAGTATGTAAAAAGGCTATCAACAAATCAGTACTGTTTATTTGTAGAGACTATGTAAAACATTTCAGACATACATTAGACAGACTTGAGGAAGCATACACAACTCTGTCTACTAACAGTGATCCACCATACAACTCTACATACAAAGTAGCAATATTGCTTGCTACTCCTGAGTAATATACACACATAGTAAATACAATAATACAATCTACTAATGCTCAAAACGAAGGCAAACCAGTTGATGAACATAAGAAAGTTGAACTGAAGCAACTAATCCTTGTATTATGGAATGCCTACAACAATTACTGTACTAAACAAGCACAAGATTCTAATGATTGGACAAAGAATAATGTACACACTAATACAATGTATAAAGCCAATAAGCAGAGGAAATTCAATCTGCCAAATCTGTTCAATCCAACAAAAGCAAAATGTTTCAATTGTGGAAAAACAGGACATTTCTCTAAGGAATGCTGTAAACCTCCTACTAAAGCTACAAAGCTTGCCCACACTAAACATTAAGCTAACATTGTGTATAAAACAAACCAAACTGTAGAAAACATGACAAACACATTTATTATTAAAAACCCAAACAAAAACAATGTTGAATTAAAGGAAGGCAACATTAAAATGAACAATAATGCTTATACTCTTATTCTGAGCAACCAGGACAAACAATTTGAACAATATGCTTCCTGAGTATGTACTAATGTATTTACAAATACAATCATAGCTAACAAGAAATCCTATATGTAAACAATGGATTTACTTGATTCCAGTGTATTAATACATACTACTCCTTATCTATTTTGATTAACAGATGTACACAACATAACTCCTACAATCATAACTATTGCAAATAGATTAATAATGACTCTTAATCAAGCTGGATCTATACATATTGAAATCCTGAAGAATATACAAGAAAGAAGTGTCATAACATTACAAAACATCTATTACTATCCACAAATGAACTTTTCCCTCATAAGTCAAGTACTACTATGTAGGGAAGGTTATTCTTTTATGTTTACAAACAATAATTGTACTATAACATTACTATGTAATGAATACGTCAGACATATACAATTGAGAAATAACTTGTATATTTTGTACAATAATCATTTGTTAAAAACAATGAACAAACTATCTATTTATAATATACATAAATGCCTCAGACATATAAGTTACAATTATATTAAACGATTATTAAAGACACAACCAAGTGTACTATCAACTAAAATAACAAACTATGAAGAGAAAGAATGTATTGAATGTATAAAAGCAAATATCAAACATACACTAATACTAAAACTACATCAATCTCCTCTTGCAAATCAATTTAGAGATCTTATTCATATTAATATCATTGGTCCTATTGAACTGTACACATATAAGAACATACACTACTTATTAACAATTGTAGACAATTCTACTTGTTAGTGTATAATGCTCAAATTACAAACAAAATCTGATGCATATATACAATATGTACAATAGACAACCAAAATATTTACACAGCACAGAGTTAAAATAAAGCTTTTACAAAGTGATAACATCATACTCTGTAACAGAACAGAATAGTAGAACAAACTCATAAAACTATATTTAGAGGTGTAAGAGCATATCTAACATCTACTAAATTACTGTTTACATTATAGGCTGAAGTAGCAATTCATATTACCTATATTCATAATAGAACACTGTGTACTACTTTAAATTACAATACCCTACATTACAAACATTACAGAACCTACAGAACAATTGATAATATATACAAATTTAGTCAATATATTATTATTCACAACAAAAATCCTACAAAAATACAACAGTAAGGTATCATTGCTTGTTGGATAGGATTAGACAATGAAAGTAAAGGCTATAAAACTTGGCACAATAATAAAATCACCATTGAACAAAATATTCAATTTCTCAAAGGTAAACCTCCTCAAATTGAAGGGGAGAAAATAGATGATACAAACAACAATACAAACAAGTGTTTAATAATTAAAAATAACAAAACAGACAATAGAATAATGAGAACAGACAACAATGATACAGACAACACTAATTCTAATAAAAAAGGAAAAGCAGTAGAACTAACAGACTTAACAGACAACAAAGTTAAATTAACTGAAAAAGAAGTAGAACCTAAACTACATTGATTGGAACAGAAACAGAAACTAACAGAATGTACTATTGAGCTTAAACAATGTATAGAGAATAAATGTGTAACAAAATGCATGTATGCACTTAGCAAAAAGGATGAAGATAATATTACTATTCATTTAACAGAATTTAATGCTAAAATAAGTGAAATACAATTGGATCCGACTTCATTTTTTGAAGCAATCTAATGTTCAGATTGTGATTCATAGATTACAGCTATGAAAGACAAAATAAAACAATTAGAAAATCATAATACACTGACAATAGTATAGAAAAATACAAAGCACAATTAGTAGTTTAAGGAAACTATCAGATTGACAGTCTTGACTATCATACAGACAATTTATTTGCTCCTACTGTTAGACTATCTACAGTACAATTAATATTAGTATAGGCAGCATCTAATAATTATGAAATACATTAGATAGATATAAAATTGGCATATCTGTATGGACAATTGATGGAAGACAAAGAAATATATGTTAAACCTCCTCTAGGTAACTTAATAGACAGATTACAGAATGGACAAATATTATGATTACAAAAAGTGTTATACAGATTAAAACAAGCTAGTAGAAGATAGTATAAAATGCTATCTAATATACTACTTAAATGTGGATTAACAAAATCCAAACATGATAACACTGTATTCTTCACAAAGAAGAAAGAAATAACTGTAACCATATTATTTGTACATGTCAACAATATTACTATTGTGGCAATGAATAATAATACTATTGTAATGATAAAATAATCTATTGTACATCATTTACAATATACAGACAGTAGCAAATTACACTAGCTACTTAGTATAGAGATTCAACACAATAGAGAGTATAGATTCATCAGGATGTGTCAGACACATTATATTAATAGTATAATAGAATGTTACAAACTTACAAATGAATGAAGTGTACAAACACTCATACAGCCTGGTACACAATTAAAAACAGTATTGCAAACTGATAACAATAGAGAACAAATGTCTAATATACTATACATAAACATGGTTAGCACACTTAGATACATTGCAGACTGTACACAGTCAGATATAGCATTTGTAACAAATCAGTTAGCTAAATACCTTAATGACCCTGGTATGGAGCATTATCTAGCACTTAAACATTGTTACATGTACTTAAAAACTATGAACAATGTCTGGCTCCAACTTGGTAGTACAAATCAATCAATATTGAACAGATATACAGATGTAGACAGTATAATGCAAGAAGGGCATTGTGCAATATCAGGATATACATTTT